TTGTGACAGATCTCATCAAATTTCGTCAGCTCAATGAGCATTTAGCATCTGAACAAATTTGCAGCAACTATCAAATTACGATTTCCAGACACGCATATATACGTAAATGAGTGAACCTCTATGATCTGAGACGAGTGAAATGAATACTCACAAGAATTATTAATCCGAAGGCGAAACAGCAAAACACTACTAACATTATCGAACTTGTAAACACGTTCACCAGCCACAAATCTCTTATCGAGTTTCGCACCACACGAAAATTTATCCGGGAGCGGACGTCTCATCGACATTGATTAATGAATAACAGTGATAGCTTTAAGCCGAATTACATTATCACAATAGAGACTCATTCACCACAGAAACACACCACCATATGTATACACCGATATATTAGTCGCTTTCTTTGCTGCTATTTATATACACTGAAACTGAGCAAATTACTGAGAGACGAAGCATAAATGAATGCAGGGGAACATCGAAAACTCCCGATGAGCGACACGGCGAAAAAGCTTGAAAGATTCACTTGAATCGACGAAAAAGTTCAAATACTAATGAGAAATATTATTTAAGTCGCACTAGTGCACTGTCAGCTGCCTGAGGCAACGAAGCAACATCAGACTAATTAATCCATTAGAGCAGATAAGTGCACACGGTCATGCGATCAAATTTCGTTCGCGAACGAATTTGATTCTGTGATTGGTGATAGATTAATCATTCGAGAATATAAGAGCTGCTTCATTCCGTCACACTCCGAACCGAATAAATGAAACGAGTAATTGGATGAAACAGAGGATCGCATAAGGCGGCATCGCGTTCACCGAGAATAGATTGTCATGAAATTCACATGAAACGAACGCAGACAGAATTTGAAAATGATATCATCAAAAGGGTGGAACATTTCGTTTACATTGCATCAATGACGACAGGGAAATGGGACGAACAATAGCAGGAAAGAAAAGAATTAGATCGTATGCTACATCAGCATGAATAATTTCAGTTACTCAATCAAAAACTACTGTAAACAAAGCAAAATTATCAGGCTATAGCATGAAATCAACATACGTGCGGATAATCAGAGTGAGGCACGCCGATGGGTTACGTCTGGACCTAGATTTCGACTGGGTCTCATAGGGGCGCCTGGATATATAGTAAACAAATAAATGGTTTTGTCGCATCGGCATGAGTTATCCATCAATTCAGTTAATTCTGTTATGAGGTTATGAGCCTAGGTGAAAGCCCCAACCC